TTAAGTTTTAATAATTATTTTGAAAGTTCACTGACTATTGGTTGCGGAAGGGTGGGTAGAATTGAGATGAATTTAAAATATTGACAACAATATGTTTTACAAGCTTTTGAGCTGTCCAAATAATACTTTAACGATAGTTATGAAAGACCCCTTTAAAGTTCTAAAATATAAATCAAGGGGAAGATCAGTAAATCCCAGATCGAATCTTTGATTAATAAAACTTTTGCTAAACTAGTAAAACTTTATAGCATTAGTAATGCATAATATATCATAGATTCTATAAAAAATACCATTAATTCTTGTCTACATCACATAAATTCTTATTTTCTCAGAAACTTCCACGTGCATGTATTCATTAATTCCTCATTTGTCTCATAAAAATTTATATCTTGTAATCAATAAGATGTCAAGTTTTAATGAATTCTCGTGAACACTTCGCACCAATAAATCAAGTATGAAAATCGTTTAATCTCACCTATTGTCATGCCTGTAGATAAACTTCTCGAGATCTGCTACATATTTTCCTTCAGTTGTAGTTTGAATTTGATTAGATGAAAAATTAGAAAAGTCTAATTTTGATTTTGCTAAATTTTTTAATTTAATTTTTTAATTCATTTTTTTTCATTTTTTAATTCTTAATCCAGCCAGTCATATTAAATTCGATTGGATAAACAAAGATTAGTATTAATCTTACCACTGTTGTCAACATATTTTCCCTTATTGTCCACATATTTTCCACTGTTGTCTTTGTATCGTCCACTGTTGTCTACGTATTTTCCACTTGCTATTGATGATTTTTTATCTACACTTAGTGATGATGCGGTGAATATTTGGCATAAGATGAGGAAAACCTAGAATAAGTTTGGGGTTTGAGATTATTAAGTTTTAGAAAGGAGTGTTAAGTGATCTAAAGTTTTTTTTTTTATAGGCGTCATTTTTTAACTGCTTCTTAAATATTGATCAATTTTAGCACTTGTATTTGAAAGAATATTAAAGATATTAAGTCTTAATTCCACCAAGACAGATTTTTTGAAGAAAAAACATTTTTAAGCAGTTAAAATTTCGAAATTATTTCATTTTGAATTTTTTGGGTTCATTGATCTTCACTTGATTTAATTTAAACTGCACTTCACTAAAAGATTGACGAAAATCATTTTTATATCCTTAAAATTAACAATCTCAACAATTTTATTTCCTCTTTTAATGAGTTTTCACATTCAACAGTCATTTTTGTCTCATTTTTCAATAAAAATTTATTACCCATCACAATAATTTTCAATAAAAACTTTCACTTACTGCAATAAATTTGATATAATTTTGCGACATTTTCATTTTTTTTCTTCCTTTTGTCTTTTTTCTTTCAAAAATAAAATAGCAAGTTTCACAATTCAAATGAAAAAAAAATAAAAATAAATAAAATAAGAGAAAAATTTCTCTAAACTCTTTTCGAACCCGAGAGTAAAAGTATACTACAAAGACTTTGTGTGCAAGCCATCCGTTTTTATATAGCAATTTACATATTTTTCCATACCATTCAATTCCGATAAAAAGTAGAATAAAATTTCTTGTAGGAAGAGAGAAAATTTATAGATTCCATTACAAAAAGGAATCGTATTTTTACACGCGAAAGAGGATTTGTTACGTTTAATGGACATCCAACAATATGAAAATATTCCTCCTACAGAATGATTAATTCTATCCATTCTTTGCTTTATCGCCACCGGGAAGTGCTTAGTATTTATAAAGAAATTATTGATTGTTGTTAGACAACATTCCATGTCGTCTTCTTACTCACTTCTAGCTAATAAAGAACTTTATTTTGTTTATTCAATGGAATGCAAAATGATGACGACAATTGATGTTTATCGTCGAGACATTGGATTAAGTTCATTGAAATGCCTATCAACTATCACTTTTATTTCGATCTTATTCAGTAGCTACTTGCTTTACGGTTTAATTAAGATAAATCATTCATTATTGACATTCCACTAACATTGATCTTGGTCATTGTGATAATGAAGCTGACTAGTCATTTGGGGGAATACAGGAGAGTTCATTGTTTGTAGAGGAATTTCTATCTTTAATATTCTAAACGGGACAATTGGAACTTATTACTCATCGTATATATCTACACATCCATATAATCCAAAAATAGATCTGAATACACACCCGCGAGTTTTACTTCAACTGCATTCCTTTTTCATCACAGATCCACAAAAGCTGATTGGACGAGAGAAACTTGAACAATCATATGGTTGAGAAATCCCTACCTTGATGCCAAATAAAGAAAAGATATTTTTAGAATCATCTCTTTGACCGTTGAATAATCAATTTCATCTGAAAATTTGTAGTCGAATTCTTAAAATAAAATATTGAGATAAAAATCGGGAGTGTTAAAATAATCAAGGCGCCGATTTAATGGTCCTTTCATTTCTGTGCTCGATTAAAATAAATATTTTCTTGCACAAACTAATGGAAATGAGATCGAGAATTTTTTTTAATGAGCAATTCGTTGAAGTGTGGGTATTCAGATATTTTAATCATTTTATTTTTATCCAAATATGCGACGAAGGAAATGACTTGGCAGTCGTTGACGAAATTGAATTCTTAAATTGTTGCATATTTGGACATTTTATAGGGTATGTTCGTGGAAATGGAGACAGTGAGTAAGAAAATATTCTTGCTTGAAGTTCAATGAAACTTTAGATATAGTTTGTCATTTCTGGTATTCAGGAAAGTATGTTGAAGATTCATTCATTTTCTTATTAAATTCTTAACTGCATATCTCATGTTCAACTGTCTGATTCATCACAAAATGACAAGTTTATTGCTCACGGATAATAATTGGAAGTAAAAAGTTTTACTTCCTCTGATTGAACCCCCATTGACACACCTTCCTATTAATTAAGAGCAATTTAAAACAATTAAAAAGATACACGGATATTGTAAGTTAATGAAGGCGCCAAAAGAAAATTCCCATAATGCACAAAAAGTAAATTTGTCGGAATCAATTTGGAAGTTGCTGATTATTTCAATAAAAAGATCGTAAATCTGAATACAAATGAAAAGTTAAGCATATTTATACTACGGTAGGTCAAGAAGCAAATGTGACAGAGTCAAAAAACAGTTGAAAGACACAGACTTAGTTTTCATATCATACTTCTGCAAGGTCGTAAAATATTGTCTTTATATTGTTGATTTTAAAGTCTGATTTGGTAGGTTGGTCAGGAATAGATGTTTAAATCTATATTTACTTATCAGGTCAGTCACAAATGGAAATTCTTCTTTTGATGACTTTGTAATGATGTGTAACAAGATTGCAATAGCAATTAAATAAACTCATGCTGCTAAGACCATAAAAATATCAGCAATGATTTCTAATATTTTCACAAATGGCGCCTTAGAAATCAGCAAGTGCTAAAAATTGTGAAAATAAACATAAATTTCAAAGACATTTTTATAAACACATCTCCATTTAAGCACATTCCATCTCAATTGCGCTATTTTCAATCGTCCTTAACCACCATTTCAACTTATTACATTTGTTCGATCGTAAATCGATTTAAATTACAATGCATGATGTAATAAAACTTTACAAACGTTATGAAATTCATCTTTAGAGCTTACGGTACTGTATTCTCATGTATCATCCCTCTATCCTAGTATAAAAATAGCCACTTGACTATGAATCATAATGAACGCTGTTTGAATTATTACATATGAAGAATGTAAAATATTCCGCTGTTTACGTTTTTCTTCGGTAAATAATGTCATTTAATACTTTAAGTGCTTTGACTATGGATTTTAGCGGTAAATGAAATCGGAAGATAAATTTTTCTTCTAGTTTTCTCCTTCGTCTCCATCTTTGTCGTCAGCTTTTTTTATAATCGATTACATCTTCCGACTGCCTGTTCATGGTGCCATTCCATGCCACACACATATGTAGGTAAAAACCAACAGAATAAATAATTACAGAATTAATAGAAGAAAATGAATCAGACAAGATATTTCTATTGTAATAGCACATTTGGCAGGTGGAGATGTTAAAACAGCAGGAGTTTAACTTAATATATTTCCAATAAAAATTCCTCTTTTTTCTCTCACCCTATGTAGCCTCAATCTAAGGAATGCAGACAGAAAATAATGCAATAAAAGTCAGTGAAAAACGCGTCAAGAAATTTATTGTGTCAATAAACTCTCGTTCTTTACAGCAACGCCACGAATGCATGACCAATTTTGAAAACATTTTATGACAGAAACTAAATCAATTGTGCTGTAAAAAAATATTAAGTTTGATGACGTGTCTGTTTAATCTGATTAAGTTGTTAAATATTATTAACTTGCGTGTGGTATGATTCTCTTAATGACCATCAAATCCGAAAGTCTAATGAATGGGAAGTTAAATATTTGACGGAAATTTTTCTGAATAAATTCTTGGAAGATTCAATGGTCTTTGAAGGCTGTGATGAGTAAATATTTACAATATGTTAGCATGAAGATATTCAGTCCAGACGAGGAATTGGTAATATGAAGCTTAACTTTTATTCTCTCATTTAGAAAGTTATGGATTTTGTGAATTATTTTCATATAAGCTTTGTGATTTGCAAATATCTCGGAAATTGTAAAGGAAGGAAATATTAATTTCCAGTTTTGCAATTTCTAATTTAGCTAGATTTCACTTAGTGTCAAACTTTATATATTAAGGAGAAGAAGAATGATTCATAAGCTGGATTTTCCCAACAAATTCTAAATTTACCTCCAATTCTAAGCTTGATGACAGTTTTAATTCAAGTTCATTCTTGAATTAAAGTTCTCATTTAAAGCTTTTCATAAGCTTTTCGACATTTTTTATCCTAAACTCCTCAAACACTAGAAAGCACAACAAACACAGCATAACTCACAGGCGAACAAATAAAAAGTCCTCAAAAAATATTTTTCATTATGCAAAAAGTTTAAAAAAGAGAAGCTTTTATTTAAAGTAAGTTCGTTATTCACAAATAAAGAGGGTCGCAAAGATCATTCATATTAAATTCTTAAATTCGTCCTTCCATAAAATTCAATTCATTTTACTTATGTGTTTCCATAAGAGCCAAGAGTCTAGTCAAAGATGGTGGAATTCTCTCTGGTTCGCGGGCTCCACGTGGAACATAAGCTTCCTTGCTGTCGCTCTGATAATTGATTTTATAAGTGACTCCATCACGGTCAGTGATTGTGATAGATCCAACGGCACGAACTCCTTCATGTCTCAGTCCAATGTTTTCGAATGTTCCATTTTCTTCAACCAAAATTCCTCCAACGGTTTCATAGACATATTGATAACCACGGACATCAACCTTTTCATCTAAACGGATTGTACGCCAGTCAGGGTGTCTTGTGATTGGTCTTCCTTGAGCTGAAATGAGAATTTTATGAATTAATTTGTCTAAAACAAAATCTTATACTTACCATCAACATTGTATCGGTTAGCCCATTGGTTTCCCCAGTTTCCAGTTCCTCGGTTCCAGTCATTCCATGTTGAGTTATATCTGTTGACATTCCAGTTGTTGTTCCAATTATTGTTGTTCCATCCTTGAGCTCCTTGGTGTCCAGCCCAACGTGGATCACTCCAGCGTGGATCAGTCCACCCTCTTGGACGAAGTGTTGTGGTAACAGGAACAATTAATGGAATCTTAGTGGTTGCTTCTGGTCGATATTTTCCATCATCGTCAGCGAGTGCCAAAAAGGCACAGGCAAAAAATGCTACGAGCTGTTGAGTTATGAAAAAAATGAGTTATGAATTATTATTGGTGGTTCCTAAGTTTAGAGTCTTTAGTTGAGCCTCTCAGAATTAACTTTTGAGTAAAAGTTTTTAAAAATTCTAGTCCCAAATCTCAACTTACAGTTAAGAACTTCATGTTTATTTCCAATCACTAGCTGTTGTTTATCCTAACTGCAATTGATTTAATTTGAATGCAAATACCCAATTGCAGCGATCTTATATAGTAAGCTACCGATTTGCAATTAGCAATAAAGCACACAAATTTATCACATTTTTCCCTGTTAGACACCTCTCAGCCTGTTTTAATTTTTTCAATTTAAAACATCATCATTATTTTGACAATAGGATGGAAAGATGAGAATGATAAATGAATTAATAATCTTAATAAACATCATATGGACCTAAACACTTAATTATACACTACCTGATCGTTCATTCATAATTTATCTCTGTGCAGTTGCACTTTAAGTAGATGGAGGTGAGTAAATGAAAAAAAAAAATAGTAAGTAAGTGAGTGAGTGCGGCATGATTAAAATTTTTTTTGAGTTGAGGAAAAAGGTGAGTTCATGCAAAAAGTTTAGAAGCACGTGTTAGAGAAGATGGAAGAAATATTGTGAAAATGGTTGAATCCATATAACAAGTAGCTAGAACCAGCAATACCCTTCATCTCATGTGTGTTCTGCTTCATATTAATGTTTTAAAATGCTAATCTTGAGTCCGAAAATTCAGGATGTAAGGTAATTAAAATAACGAATTTAAGCACAACTAAAGCAGCATTAAGAATGAAATTTACGATTTTTTTTCTTACCTCGATAATTTTTTGCATGAATTGTGCTGAAACCTACAAAAAAATCCATTAGATAAATAATTCACATGCGAAACACCCGATCATCATATCATCATATTCAAATTGGCAATTTTAAATGAAATTTATTATTGTCGCTTCCATTCCAATAATCATCAGCATGTGGATGATATTCATAGACAAAATACGATTAATAATAAATAATTGAGAGAGTTAATTTACATAAATTTGCTTTTAGACTAAATTGCTTTATATTTTTCTCATCTATAATAAGATTAGAAGGAAGAAGCTCAAGGCAGCAATTCAATATGCCATAAATTCTTATCACAAGTACACTTTCAATTAACCTGTAATTAAATAAACGCACCTTTACAAATGCTTTGTATATTTGCTACAAAAACTTATGTCCATCGATGTCTCATAAAATTCAATAATGGTACATCCATTACCAGAATTTATGGGCCTTATAATGAGGCAAAATAGTCATTATGTAATTGAAGCTGCCTATAATGAAGTAAATGACGATCAGCAACAGCCATAAAATGAAAGCGAAACGTTAACACAATTTTCACTTTCATTTCACGGTCAAAGCATTAAAGTGGGTCATGTCGGAAATGAAAATGAGGCGAAAGAGAAAGAAGATAGGTATTGTGTTGGAGAAGGTACAATGCTGAGCTGAAGAAAACCAGTTTTTCTCTGATTGTTGTAGCTCACATCGTGCACATACAGCAATGAATTTGCATCTTCTTTTCTTTAAGTGAGAGATAGTAAATGATCTTGCTGCACGTAATAGTCTTGACTTGAGGAGCTTTCGGCTGGGTGGATTAATATTGTTTTGAATGTGATTCCTTGTGCAGATTCTATGCTTATTACTTTTCCTAGCGATTTTAATATTTAACATCATTTTAAAGCTAGTTTTTTTAACCATTTGAAATGGAATTTATTTTATTGATATTTTGAAATCTTTAAAGAAAAACAAATAATAATAAAATTTATTGCATATTTTATTGGATTTTAAAGTTTCAAAAAAATCACAATAATTTGCATAATTCTGTGGAAATAGGCAATCAATAAACTATATTCTCAAGAAAAAACAATTTTTCTATATTTTGAATTCATCTTTTTTGATTTGATTATATTTAATGATAGCTAGTTTATGGTAAACAAGATGACGCCATAGTTCATTAAAATACCCAATCTAGCTTGAAACTATTCAAAGGGGATAAATCGCCTCATAATCATTTTTATCGTCTCAATGAAGATAAGCGGAGTCATCCTTGATAAACCAATTTATTTTTTTAAATCTCTCTTCGCATGCAGCCTTGAAACTTTGACCTAGAAAACTATAATCGGCTGAAAAATAATGGAAAATTTATAAGCAAAGACAATTTTTTTCCGAATTTATAAAATTCGACTTTTTTTTTATTATTTCAAGATCGAATTTAAGATGTTGGTTGATTTTTGTTGTTTTTTAAAATATAACAAAAAATTTATACACAATAAAAAACATAGTTGGAGGTAGTTTTGGAACAAGTTTTTTGACGTTTTGAAGATATTTTGATATTTACACGTAATTTGAACACATCTTCATTTGTTGTTCGATAGAATCGACATTTTGGTATAGACAAAATAAGCTCAAAGAGACAAATAATAAAGCAGAGAGCGTTTGGAGATTGGAAGAAGTATAAAAACAGATATCTTAAAGGTTATAATCTACATAGTTCTTAGGCACTCATACTACTTCGAGATGAATTGAGTTATCAGTTTACTTTCTGGCTGCTGGTGGGTGGTCAGCGAGGTATTTAAGAGCCTTTTGGATCAAAGCTGGGATTTCTGGTGGTTGTGGGATGTGATCACCAGTTGGTTGGAAACCTAATTCGTTGGCAACATATTGGACAGCAATGTTCTCGCCTTCGGGTGATGTGTATGAGAATGATCCTGTGGCTTCAATTGCTTCTTGTTCTGATCCAGCGTTCTTCAAGACTCCAGCTTCTTCAGCGCGGATTCCCTTTGATGTTTCGTAGGCATAGTTGTATGAGTCTGGGTTGACAACTGAGTCAAAACGAACAACTGTGTCTAAGTGGCTGACATCAGCAAGTGCGACGGCGATACAGGCGAAAAGGACGATCTGTTGAAAAGATATCGATGTTAAATAATGTGTTATAAAATCAAATTGACATCGTTTTTATGAAAATGAGGTTGTCGATTATTCAATTTAATTTATTTTGCGTTGAATAATTTGTTTTTGAGTGGATAGCTCATGGGAGCAGTATCATCTTGTGACAACCACGTTTTCGTTGATAAATATTCATTGAAGTTGTTGTGATTTAACGTTTTTGACATTTGTTATGAACCAGCTTGTGCCTTTGAAGTAATTGTCGATCAATCTACACTATTATCAGGTCATAAATCTAAGTCATTCGATTATTCTTGAAAAATTGCTAAATTTTAAGTACCAATTATGTAATTAATAAATTTATGACCATTGACCTGCTGTAGATTTACTCAATATGAATAAATTTGCAACTTAAGTATCATGTAGCAACAAAGTCTAAACTGATTGTCGATATGCTGACTATAAATTTGATCAAACACCTGATCATTGTAAATATTAAAGTGCCGTAAATTTTAAAAACAGTGATTATTCCTCTTCATGATCATCGCTCATAACTACTTATTTGAAATAATTTTCTAATAATTCTTAAATTGATGGTTTGAGGAGGATTTATGAGGAATACTTTGGGAACGAGGTGCTAAATCTTTTATACAATGTAGAATTATCCAGGCAATTAAGTTTGAATGAAAATTAGGATTAATATGCTGGGAACTTGTCTTTTAAATCACAAATGATATAATTGGGCTCTAATTCTTTAACTTTCTTTGTCGTTTGATTTGAAATTATCAAGATTTAGCTAGGCCAAACAACTGAGACTTTCCACCTCAATTAAAGTCATAAAATGACTAAATTTGTTGCAAAAAAGCTTGACTAGTCGCAATAAAAATTAACTTTAATTGAATTTATATCCAACAATTCATGTTCTTTCCATTTTTATTGAACTTGATGAAGTCCTAAATCGTCTTTATTGCATTTCACAATGAAACTGCTATAACATTGCATGATAGGCTATAAGGCCCACTTGATTATCTCATATGAAAGATAAATGGCACTTAAATTTGACATAAATTTCACAATCCATGCTTCACATTATGTCTTGTATTTTTATAAATTTTACAAGTAATTCACTTCAATGAATATTTTTCAAAGTCTTTTTGTGCATTTATATTTTTCTTTTTGTTTAAATATTTTTAATTGTTACTCACGAATTTCATTTTTAATATTTTTTTTTGTGGTCTAAAGACTTAGATACTTATCACTGATCACTGAATTGTAATCTGATGAATTTTTTTAAACAACCGAGATATTTATACTGAACCCTCGACTAAAGACAACATACGAGGAGAAGAAAAACTAGAGTCCAAAAAAATATGGTAATCTTGTGCCCCAACAACAAAGACAAATGTCTAAGTGTAAAAATATGATATTGGAAGATGTCACACATTGAAAGGAGACAAAACAAACTCGCTCGCAATGCAAAAAAAAACGACCAGTACAATCGCACATATGATGCGAGTAGAAGAGATATAAGATGGGGATGGATATAACGTGTTTGGTGTGTATGTTATCAAGATAAGAAGAGTTTGCGCTTGAGAAATTTATGAGAAATATTAGGAAAGAATTAATTTCATTTTGCTGTCAATTTTGGCAATCAAAAAATTTTCCATTGAATGTTTTGTGATTGCTGAATCCTTTGAAAACCTTCATAAATTATTCAACGAGGTTATGCAGTGTCAGATCCTCGAACAAACTTAGTATAACAATTATATTTTATATTTATTGTTTTAAGGAACTTAGTAGCTCAATTGTGCAACTACATGCTGGAAGTAAAGAACTGTTTAAATGTCAAGGAGTCTAATTAAGCATATCAGTCAGACAAACTGCAAGGAAACGTTCGATTATTTCAAGAACTAGCTCTGAAAAATTATAAAGCTGATCAGTTTTTTTTTTGGCTGATGAGACAACGGTCTATAAGATTACGATATTATAATTATGTGTATCTACGTGAATAATAATGTGAATCCGAAAAGAAGAAAAAAACCAGAAACGAGGTGCGTGATATTGAAGTTAAGATAATAAGGTTGAAGATTTTTTATGTTTTTGTCTTGAGCATCGATGAAAAATAACAAAACGAATGAGTTCTATAGACTCTAATAAACTTTCAGTTGAGCTTTAGTTATCGATGAGATGATTTATTGCTGATTCTGGTTCTGCACATTATTATAGAGAGTTGTGAAGGAATAATTCTGATTTTGTTGATACAGAGTGAGGAATTAAGGTCAATATGGAATTTTAAAGCATCTCGAAATCCTGAAACTTTCATCAAAATATCACAATCGCTAACAAAAATATTAAATCCATAGCTGAAATAATTCGAACCAATCCCATAAAAATTTCATCACCAACATCATTTAAATTAAATCATCGCAAATAAAAAGCTTTAAGTTTGAACTTTCAAATCCATAATGTTTAGCCATAAATACACTCAAATATTGCAATTCATCAAAAAATCTTTTAAAGACGCTGAACATCTGAAATAATAAATCATACTTAGAGTCACGAATTAGAGTTATACACCCTTTATCACTGCCTTCGACATCATAGTTTATTGACAGATAAATTCAAATAGAGCTGCTGCAAAAAAATATTTATTATGGTCATCAAACCTCTATCACGGGTTTGCCTTGATATTCAAAGAAACAATTTGTATGTTTTTTGAATAAAATAATATTTATTGATATATTGTCAAGATGTATCGTCATCACTATACAGAAATTTGTGTCATCTTGTGAATCTATTAATAATCGTGTTGTTGAAATATTCATAATTTGTGCAGTATTAAAAATGCTATTTTAAGATTTTTGTGCCGAAAAGTGCATATTTGAATATTTTTGCAATAATTTCTAAGATTAGACTAAACTAGATAAAGATTTTTGGAGCCAGGAAATGTTATGAAATAGTTTTTATTTATTTTATTGGATTTAAAATCAATTTAATTGAATGAGTTTAAAAGTCCATTAATTTTAAATATAAGCCACAATTCCATCATTAGTCAACTGTCTCATACTCCATAAATAGAATTGCTGCAAATCCTCAGAACTGCTGAATTAATGATTGCATGACAAACATGACACGCTTATTGATAAGTTAATAAAAAGTTTGTCAGAATGACTGAAAGATGTACAAAGTGACAAGTATACAGTCTGTCTGACTTCTAGGCAAGCCCATTTAACTTTCAATGACGATAGTCATGCTTGATTGATGGATTTAACTGAACAAATTGTCAGATTATCATTCTGTCCAAGTAACGATAATAAAAGACAAATTGCCAGACATGCTTAAGCACTTCAGACAGTAAAAACAAATACTTATCAGTTAATTTGCAAAAATGAACAAAAAGTCGTTAGCCACAAAATGTATTATAGGATTTAAATACTTTATTACCATAAATGTCACACTTTTCGTTTCTAAGTTTGAGGACGTCTTTCTTTGCCAACATTTGAAGAAACTCCTTTGAAAAAGGTTATGCCCTCTACAGTTATTGCTCGAGAAACCTCGAAGATTTTCTTATTCATTTAATTAAATAATGATGATGATGATGATGTAGATAACGATTGTTATGGGAGGAATGGTCGGAAATGTGGTTGATATTTTTGTAACTTCTAATCTATTAAGTTTAAATGAACTGCATATCACAGCCTTTGCTACTTTATGTAGATCAAGTTTAAACTTAGGCAGTTCTCTAACTTCAGCCATTTATTCGAGTATTCCGCCCATCACCTATAAAGATACAATACATGATAATTAAAATAAAAGCTATTAAAGGTACTAAAGACTTCAAGCCTCACTAAATGGCTTCATATAAATGCACACATTGTGATGGCATTTATTGCTTTCAATTAAACGCGGTCAATAGATTTATCATAGAGGATCTTGAGATTTAAGACCCGTTCATGATATATGCAATATAATGCTTGATAAATGCCTTCTTTAACATCTGTCTTCTTCTTTTCATACATTTTTTGACCTTCATTTTTGAGTCAATATTATGAATATACAGCATTCAGTTGTCTTTTACGTACATTGTAGGTTTAAATCGAATGAAAGAGAAATGAGACTCATTTTGGTGGGCTTATGGATAAATGGTAACTTGAAGATGAAGAAGTAACAAAAGAAAGTGTGAACAGGAATTGGAAATACACAGCTGACAGACTTTAATAGTAATCATACGAATATTAGCAAAATTCTTGCATTTAATTCTCAACTAATTGTCAAATTCCAATAGATTAAAATCAGAATCACTTTAAATGTTTTTAAAATAAGCAATAAATTGCACACAATCAATCAAATGATAAAATCTTAATCCGTTAACTTAAATGACAACATCAATATTTTATTTCAACAGAGTCGAGTGACATTTCCATTCTAGACGTGGACAGACGACAACCATTTCGGTGAAAAGTGATAAATTTTAATCCTTTGAACTTATCATATGGAAAGGTCAGTGATATAAATAATATCCGCGACATATTTTACAGTAGACAAATTTATGATTTACAAAAAAAAATTTCGGTGATGATAAAAAATTTTATGTCTGTTTAATGTAAATTTTTGAATGGCATCGATGGTGTGTTGTTAGGCAAAAGCAGCCGATAAAACAAAATGTCACAAAAGAAAACTAATCTTTTAAAGCTTGGCCTTTTATAAAGTCAAGGCTTGCATTCATTGCAATAACTTTTCGGCTGTGATTAATTTTAATTCGGGATATCCAGGGAAGTCTATATCTTGAATTCGATAGTTTATAGGATTCTGTGATTTCTTTAATGCCAAACGAGTAAAATTTATTCTGAAAATGCTGAATTTGAAAAAAAGGCATAAAAAATGCTCAGCCATAAAATGTTCCGTAATTCACACAGAAAAATTAATGCAGCTTTCTTATCGAACTTCACGGACCATAAAAAGTTTTGCAAAAAAAATGCATGATCAGCTAATAAGCCATATCATAATCAAACGCCTTATCGATTCATCTATTTCACACATTATAATGGCAATAAAAAATATAACAAGCAGCGATCGATTTTATTGAGAGTAAAGAAATTTATATTCAATGACAACTTACTAATAGTTTTCAGTTCGGTAGCCTCGATTTCGATAAAATCAAAAAGTTTTTATTAACTTTAAAAAATATGATTTTGTCATCAATTTTTTTTAGCAAAGGTGGAGTTTAAATGTTAAAATAATAAAATATATTCAATGTTTTAGTTTTTTTAAAGATATTTTTTGTGCATTTGATTTATTGTTATATGGCAGTTTGTGATGTAAAACACGATTACCAAATTTATTGGCGAGCATCGCTAAGACAAAAGTTCTTTTTTCTGCACATTTGTGTTCATTTTTATGTTATGTCAATTTAGGTTTAAGGAAGTAACGACAGTTTAGAGTAGAAATTCAACCAATTATTGATGACAAAACTTTGACTTTTATAAAGTCATAAACAAAAGATTTTAAGGAAATAGTTTGAGCAAAAACAATGGATATGATGATCGTTAATTGATCACCAAACAAAATTTATTAAAGACTCGATTCATTAAGCATTAATAACAATCAAGCTGTGTCTTGTAATTCTTCACACAAAAGGTGGGTTCTTCATTGAGTGTTGGCTTGCAGCGACAGGATGTCAATTTTAGTAATGAGCTTCCTTAAAATACAAATTCCTTAAATTTATGAATTTAACATTATTTTAAATTTCCTTTTTTTGTTGTCATGATGAAGGTTTAAAACTATCAATAACTTGTGTTTAAGAACCAAACTAAGAATTTAATTAAGTTTTTTCAAATATATTTTTATTCAATCTTTCTATACGAAAAAAGACATTTTGATTGTTCTGCAATATCACTAACGTATACACAATATTTATAATAATTTCTTTTTTTCTTCTTCTTCTAAACTTTAAGGTTCACATTTCGATGAGCAAATATTTAAAAAAAAATAAAAAAAGTGAAAAAGTTTAAAAAGTGTTATAAAGTCTAAACTAATATTCAGCATCTCACGAACATGTTATCTGGTTCTTTGACATTTGTTATCCTTCCTTAACCATCAGTATGTATGTGTATGTGTATAATATTTCTAAATATGGCAGTTAATGAAAAAAAAATTTACATAATCGTTCTCTTGTTGGCTTAAATTGGACGTCTATTGTGTTTTAAACAGTCTATGCTCTTCTATTTGGAGTCTCTGTTGTTGGTGGTAATGAGGCAAGATATTCCAAGGCACGTTGGATCTCTGGAGGGATTGGTGGTGGTGTTGGGAGATGAGCGCCTAAAATAAAATATAAAATTAAGTTACAGTTTTAAAATTTCAGGTAGGTCTACAGAATGACTTGTCAAAGATCAGGAAAAGCTCTTATAAATCTGACATCTTTTAATTTTTAATGCTCAGTGCATGAATTTTTGATCCAAAATTAATTGGTAATCCATTTAATCTATACAATAAGCACGGACATTGATACTTGTTCATCTGCTGATGTCAATGAGCCGAAAAAAAAATAAATAAACAGTTGTGCATAAACTACACAAAAAAAGTCATTCTGTGACATTTCCACTCCTTAAAATTTGTAGATGAAAAAAGTCAATTCCGAATATGGAGAAATGTCCATAAATGTTATGGAACTTCCGACATACCTTGTGGACGGAAACCTATAAGGTTAAAAATATACAATCATTAAATATCAAGACAAAAATTAAATAAAGCATTCAAAGATGATTTACCATTTTCATCAGCTTCCCAAATTACTTCTATGAGCTCGCCTTCGGGTGATGTATATGAGTATTTACCACGTGCAACCTACAAATTTAATGACACATGAGTTTATAATTAAATCAATAGATTTACAATTTTTTGGTCTCAAAATTTTTGTTTGTCTTTCGAGGTTCAAATTGATCCGTTTCATAAATCAATAAAGAAATAAAATTTTGTAGATAATAATAGCTTAAAGAATTCAAGGAGATGTCGTAGTTTGCTCCTTCTATAAAATTGATCTTTAAAAAAATATAAAATGACCTAAGTTTTAACACTAAAATCGAGGATACTTCTTTGCATATTTTTTATTATTCGATAAATTTAAAGCCATGACAGTTCTTGCAAAAATTTAAATTTTTCCGATTTTCCGGATTCCTCAAATATTCGCCATTAAGTCAAATTTATTTTTTATTCGATATTAAAAATGCATAAATTTCGAATGGCTCTTATCAAAAACTGGAAATGTTTTGAGGCTTATTCATTAAATCCCCAATAAAAAAATGTGCAAAAAAGTGTATTTTGCTTGTTATGGCATTTTTATTGGCGACTCGTATTTTATAAAAAAAAATCATAGGTTTATGCCTTGGTTTATTGCTTTTGACTCAGACTAAGCATAAGGTCAGTATAATTGGCTACAAAACAAACATGATTTGGTATATCAATATTTATGTTTCTAGATCTTTATTAAAAACAATATTCATAAGTAAATCTTTAGAATAATTTTCCAAAATTCATCCTCATAAATGACATATCAATCCCAATGTCTTTGAAATTTCTATTCACGAGACTCTATTCGTTAAAATAAAATCGGTTCTAAATGAAGAAATACGAGAAATTTTTCCATTCGAATCCTAATTTGCATATTTTTTATAATCATTTTCATTTTAGTCTTTTTATTTTGGAACATTCCTGAAGTCATTGCTTTTCACGATCATCAAACCGGATCATGCTTTAATAAATATGCAAATTATGAAATCTTTGTTGGTTCTATTCTTAGCTATGGAATATATTTGTAATGAGGGGGTAGTGAACTATCATGGAAAATGAGACTAGCTTTATATGTTGCTTCATTTGAGAAGGTAGAGGAATGTGTAAATGAAAAGATTTTGTTTTTAAAATTTTTTCTACATCCCCCTGATCCTAAGAATCTTTATGATTTAATTTGGCAACGATTTTAGACATCATAAGAAATTTACGATCCTAGATTTGAGTCTAGAATATATTAAAATTACCATATTAATTCTAAAATTTAAATAATTTATGTCGAAAACAAGTCATTTTTCCTTTGAATAATTTTGACTTCTACGCTACACTGTTCGTCTTATTTTAATCCTATCAGTCCAATTTAATTTTATTACGGTTCTATTTTCTTGGATTTTATACATAATAGTTCTATATATTTTATGAGAATTCGTTTCCGACAAGAATAAATTTTATTAAAAATGTATGAAAAAGTTTAATAAAAGTTTATAAAAATACATCTTGATAACTTTTACTAAAATTTGATAAGGGTTATTAAAAGTTTTGGTTTTGCAAAATTGCATTCAAATTTTACAAAATCGTTAAAATTTTAATAATTTTCTTACTAAACTTTAGTAAAAAGTTATTAAGATGTATTTTTTATAATTTTTATTAAATTTGTTCATGGATTTTAGTAAAAAGTCATTAAAATTTCTTAGATTATTTTTTTTACAAAAACAGCTTTATAGGATAATTAATTTATAGTATGGAGCTTTTTCAAGTCTTAAGTAAAATGCTTTCTCAAAGCTTAAGACTTTGCATGATTTTTGGCACTTAATGTGCCTCATAAGAAATTTATAATTATATATGACTTTGTATGAGAACTAAGACATTCTTTTGTATAAGTCATTTCTGGGAGCGCTTGTGAAGTATATAAAATGTATGAAAACCCTACAATTTTGGAAACCTACAACAGTTTTACAACGCTGTAGGATTTTAAAAACTTTTATTAAAATTTGATAAGTTTTACTAAAAGTTTGATAAGGTTTACTAAAATTTTAATAATTCTCATTAAAAAAATTTTAATAAGATTTTAATAACAAATTACTAAAAATATTTTTATGAGTGTAGAAAACAAATTTTTATGGTCAATGAAATAAAATGCAAGAACTGATTTAATTGATTATTTTTAAGCTTATCTATATATATAAATTAATATCTGTTTTATATGGATTGTGTCAATGTCTATTTTTCATTTAAGATGTAAGTTCCATACAAATTATCATTGGTTGTTAAACCTGGTTAAACCAGTAACTTGACTTTAATCTTGACTCGATCTTATCCCGACAATTAATCAGTTCTTCAACCTTTTAAAAAAACAGCAGAAGCTTACATCTAGTTGCTAACCATCTTGGAGGAGCTTCTTCATTTAGGAATTGATTATATACATTTAAGCCATTTAGCAATGCTAATAACTTAAAAATATCCACAAAATTAAGTAAAAAAATTCGCATATTTTCTCGATAATTTATTGTTGCATTAATTATTAAAAATTATTCAACCGACATTCTTTTGCACATCTTGAAGCATCTTCCAAGGCTTATTGCAAATGAGGCAGAGAGAAATTGATAATAAGAAGAATATTATTATTAAATTTGAATGTTTTGGAATTCTCAAGCAGATTCCATCGAAAGGAAAATATTTTTTGTGTGGATTGAAAGCGAAAGTGAGCTTTTGTGCTGAGTTAAAGTTAATGATTTGAATTTTTATATGTTTAGGGACTAGGTTGACTATTGAAAATGATTTCGTATTAGAGATTATATAGAAAATTTAAGAAATTACCAATATTTTATATTCCGGACCTAGTCAATAAATCTATTACCTTATATCAGAATCTGGATTATTATATAATATTTGTTGACAGAAAATTCTAGAAGTATCCACAAATATACACGATTAGATCACAAAATAAATGTCTGCTGTCACATCTACATTCTATACTCGTTTCCATACTAGCATCTCCACTACCAATTCCATGAATCTACGCAGTAAACCGCAATAAAGCAGCGGAAAAAATTCTCAACTTAATTTAAATATTGCATCACCTCCGATATACATCAACGGTTATTATTTCTGAAGAAAAACATTCACATTTTGTGTGCATATTAATAATAGCCAGTCATTCCTTCATTCATTATTAATTTAATTCATCTTGTCTTTTTTCTCTCACGACTATCGTCATATGCGGCATATTTCTCTTTTGTCATCTTTATGCAATTCCCTTACAAAAAATGATTTATACATGAAGTTTTTAATATTAAAATCGATGAAAATATTCATTTCTGAACAGCCTGCAGATCGGGTCATAACTTAATATACCGACTCATTGAATCATCATCAATAGAGTTCAATGCTTGTAAAGAAAACGAACATGCACTTAGAAACGACTCAATTATGAGTGTCGATAGATGTCTTGCGCAATATCATACAATTTTTTTTTATTTGGCTTGGATATTGGAGATGGCAAACAGCATTTAAACATTTGACATTGATTTTTCTTCTTTTTGTTATTTTTTTACTCAATTTTTAAGTTATCATAACGATTATGTTCCAAACACACAAAGATTGGCTTTTACTTTTCGTTGAGCTATGAAGATTTGTGAGAGATTTGGAAGACTTTGATGATGAGAAACTGGTTTTTTATTTCGGGGGACTTGTTTTGATGTAGAAATAGGGGTTACTGGGCTATTTGAAGTGTAAGTTTTGAATTTATTAGGTCGGGATCATCTTATTACTAGAAATTACAATCACATCGCATAAGATTCATTTCACGAATGCGAATTATGTTCTCTCAGTTCATTAATAATCACAATTGACCTTATAAGTACTACAGAAGCATTATTGAAAATCTGTCGAGATGCCCAAAAGTCATGTCTAGACACAAAAACCGTTATTGAATGAATAATGATCCAATATCTGTTTTTTACGACGTCATCAATATGCTTAGGTTCGTGGCTGTGAAAATATTAAATGGCTCATTCGGTTTGTCATTGAATCTAATTATATTATCAATGGCTTTGCCTTATTCATGCCACGTGCAATAAATGACTTTAAATGTGCCGCGATTGTTTTCATTTTCATTTCCATTTCGAGAAGAGTTTGAAAAAAAAATGGAATTTTAATGTCGTGAAATTTTAATATTTGCGAATATTGATAGTTAAGCATAGAAAGAGTTTCAAGTACTTGCGCATCTTCAAGTAATTGCCCAATATTGAAAGTCTCTTAAATATAGGCATTCAAGCAAAATAATTAATTAATTATATTTTTCTGCTGCAAGCAATGACTTTTTGCAGTTAATCAGCAAATTAAATTTTTACAATCTTATGTACAAGGTGTGTGTGTATGGCGAAATCTCAATGGCCTTTTAGCGCATGAGGAAGATTTTGTGACATTTTGAGAATCTTGTCGATTGCTTGACCGATTTTTTGAGTTCAGGCTGGTTGTGATTAAAGATGCTTAATGGTTTGTAGTAAATAAGATTGAATCAATATTTGATATGAGAATATAGGAAGTTGACCTGATTTAGGAACGAGAACTTTAGTGACAAAACACATTGAAATCTTCTGGATTATTTAAATATTTGAAAATTTACTATCTTGCCAAATCTATAGACACAAGACAATACAAAATATATCTCGTATATCACACAAAACCAAATATGAAGATTAGAAAGCTTTTAATTATTTTTTCAAAGCTTTTTTTTTCGTGGAGCAGCCAAATTTTTTTTTTATCTCGAATTCAAAATTTTTGAGATCGTTTTAATAATTTTGGAAGTGATACTCACCATGCCTTCATTTTCAGCTCCAACATTTTCAATATGTCCTTCTTCTTCTGCAATTATTCCATTTCCTGTTTCATATGCGTATTTGTATGATCCATCTGGGTTTATTTCTTGCTCTTGTCTGGTAATTAATATGAGAAATAATAATTAATTTTCGTGCTAGAGACATTTTAAATTCTTTAAGGATATTTTTTACTAACCTAAGAATTGGGATTGGTGTTGTTGTGTCGCCTCCTTGTGGAGCTGCTGATGTAACGGCAATAAATGCCAATGCTACAATCTGAAGATGAAATGCAGGAAATTTAATATGTTTCGTACAAAAAGGGCATTTTGGATTACATAAGTTGAAATGTGAGCTTTATAAGGAAGTTCTTTTGTGGAATTTTAAAAATATTCGTGATTTTTTATTTTTAAAAACTATGTGAATTTTCAAAATTGTCTGAATTTTGTGAATTTTTCGAAAAGTATTAAAGTTTTATAGGTTTTTAATATATGCGATATTTGTAAACTTTAAAGGTGGCGCCTAAGAGATGAATTGTCGAAAGCAATCCAAAAACATGAGCATGATCACATTCGTTAATGAACTTCACAGAAACACGCAAAAAAGTTGCAAAAAAAGTTTAATTTAATAAAATGTTTTCCCTTGAATATAAGCGAAATGGACACGATGTAAAACATACGTGATGAGTAAATTGCTACTATTAAAAATGAAGTGTCGTTTGTAATTTTTTTATATTAAATCGTTCATTAAATTTAATGAAATGTTGAATATTTTTTATGGGATATTTCATTGGTTATTGTCATTATGAAGATTTTTTCTTGATGTTCCTGTTCATTATGGCTTGATGAGGTTTTAAAAGGGTATTTAGCATACCATATTTTATTATTGTTTACACGATTAAGGAATGACTTTAAACAAGCCATGATCAAGTTCCAATAAAGAAGACTTAAAGAACCAAAGTCCTAATCATTTAACAAACATGATTTATGTCAGGAATCTTAACAAGATTTGGTTCGGAATAATTCTCAAATTTCCAAAAGTTCACTTTTGGCTAGACATCTTCAGTTCTTCAACTTTTCATTCACAAAATTTCACAAATTTCATCTCAGTAAACCATGAAATTTCAACTTTAATCTTTTTATTAATTTTCGTTTAAATAACTTTCAACTTTTAAGTGCTTTTTAGGTAAATTCTCCAAAGTTTTATCATTGTCACTGCTTAAAGTCACTTACAAGGTATTTCATTTTGATTATTTCACAAAATTCAATAATTCACTCAAAAAATATTATTATTTCTTTATCGGAAGTTGTTTCTACAAACGTGTAAAAAAGACTGCACGATCACAACTGAATTACATTCCTTATTTATACAATTTTCCCATCATGTACAATGGTCCGTTTGTGGCTGTGCATGCACGGTTGGGAAGGATTGAAAAATCATCTTCATAGATTTTTTTTTACATGCAGACATATCGATACATCTACACGATACTTTTTTTTCTCTTGTGCAGCGCTTACTCATATCATTCCGTCTCTTTCTGCTATCTGCATTGAGCATGAGTAACTATCAAGCTCGTAATTCGAATATTCGTCAAAATATTTCTCTATGGCCTAAGTGAACAATAATAAGAAGGAGAAAAAAAATAACAAAATGCGGCACTTTATGAGCTATAAAAACATTTATTTATTTTTGCATGGGATGATCGTGTCAGCGAACTCACCGGAATTTCAAAGGCAAACAACTTAAGGATAATATTCATTTCAAGCTCATGTTCCTTCAGGTAAGTTCTCTGCTTGAGTTTTAATTTTTACAACACTCATGACTAATAATGATTGTGAACGTTTACATGGAAAGTAATGTAAGATCAGCAGGATGCAGGCTTCAATGATTCTCATAGAATTTTTCTAATCCCACGTCTTGAAGTTAAGACTTGACCTTTTTTGCACGAATAGTATTTACTGAAATTCGTGTCACAGTTGCGTGTTTATGTGAACTATATTGATAGGCCATAGATAGATCCGTTGAATTTGTTCCTGTCTCAAAAGTCATTTCTTAGGCACTTGAGTCAAAATTGTTAATTGAGTATTTATTCAGCATCGTAGATGAAACAGTTTTAATTGAGGTTTAGATAAAGTTCCGCCAGACAAACTTAAACAAAGATCAATTAGGGACTTGATTCTTATCGAAATCTCCAAATAGACCTCTCCAAACTCTTAAAAGTTATCATCACAAATTAGAAAATCCAAAAAACAGTTTCAATCAGATCTCAATCAAATTACATCAATTCAAATACAATTCACACTCCATTCATGGCAGGTCCGTTCATGGAAATAAAGATTCCTTGTAACAAATTTCAATGATAATAAGCTCAAACTCCTTGAGAAAGACCCTATGTCAATCAAAAATAAAATAATATTTTCTTCAAACATTAATTGCCGAAAATAAAAATTTCTCATAGTCATGCATATCGCACGCGTAGCATTTATCGTTGGCGTTATAGTTGATTGCAGTCAAATTGGTGATTATATATTTTTGATGAAAGAAATCACAGTCAATAATAATAATAGAGACTTTATTTTAGATGACTAATCGAAAATATTCAGTGTGAAATGTCCTTGACTTTCTTTGCACTCAAATGCTGGATCTTCTGAGAAAAAATTAACAAAGTCATGAAGTCATGGAGAATCTATTGAGTATAATTATTGAATACTACGAGATAATTAGTTCAGGATTTGAGTAGAAAAAGTTGGATAAGACTTGTTAGATTCCAAAGTTTGGAACTGAAACTACAAAGTTCTATGTTTTGTTATAATTTTGAGTAAGAAACGTCATTGAGAATAAAACTTAGTGACACATGGATCAATAACTTCACTTTTAATGGACATCATTTGCGAGCAATTGCTTGCATAGACAACAGACAAGCCGACTTTCAATTGCTGTCTATTTATCTTCAAAATTAAGCTAAAAACCTACCATAAGCTCATATATCACGCCTCAATCACATCTTTCTTCTATCAATAACATAACACCATTTAACAATTTTGGCACGTGATGAACATTATGTACTTTACTTTGTTGTACTTCCATTACAATTCTCAGAAAAGCCACATCAAAAAAAAGTTTCTTTTAAAAAAAATTTATTTACATTTTTCATTGTAAGAAACCGCATCGATGGTTTATGTTGGCTTGTCTTGTTTTAATTGTACAAATGTCTGTACTTTATTATGTCATCTTGTGGGTCATTCGGGTTTTTTCTAGGATTTAATTTTAATCTTAAGTCTAGTTTTATTTAGTCATGTTATTGTTAGTCATGATTGAGTAAGTTAATGTGGTTGGTCTGTGTAATGTAAGTTATAAGACAAGTAAGTTGGAGAAAATTATTGAAGGAGAAGCGACTGATGTCATTTTAAGAATGATGTCGGGTATTTACTAGAAGTTTTGTTTTGATTACACTTTAATGTAGCTAGATCCAATATTATGTTCGTAATGATGTTTTATCACTTAAAGATGATCTTGGCAGGTCCCAGAATAACTAGTCAGAATATTAGTACAGATTAAGCTTTAAGAATCATTGTTTGAGATTATTTTTTATTAAAATCCGATCAGCATCAACAAAAAACACAATAATTCGACCTTACTTCCCGAATTTCAATTAATTATTGTCAATTAAGCCATTCACTAGCTCACGTGCGCAAATGTGCCATAAATATCCTAAAAACGATAATCCAACAAACAAACAAAAAATTGAAGAAATCTGCAAACAAGCAATCAACCTTTAGACATTACAAGCAACTCTCCTTCAATTTCCTGACATAATCTTTTGACGGTCAAAGTTATTTATTCTTCATCTTCTCTTTCTTTAACATTATGATCTTATTATGTAACCGAAACCTTTCAGCATCTCCGAATTGTATATGGCCAGGAAAGAAGAGGTGACAGCAGCGATGCTATGAAAAGTTTAAGAGTTTTTTGATTATTTATTTCTGTTTTTTGGGGTTTTTAATTTTTGCGTGAGTAAGTTGAGGTTCAAATTTGATAGAACAGATTAAAACCTACTCGAGATAAGCTTGCACAATCTTGGTGGAACTACCACAATATCTTACCAAGCTACTCAAATAAAAATAAATTTCTCGAATTAATAATCTTATTTTTACCCGATTAAAGGTACTTGTAAACATAAGATTATGCATGTTGGCCCTTTCCATGCTTCTTTAGTTGTCGAATTTTAAAGGTCGACATTTTAATTAATCTTCATGCTTCATCCTGTCAAGTTTATTGCTTCTTATAATGTTGGATTTTTGGCAAGCACGCCTCTTTATAGCTTTGGGATATCAGATTTAAAGTTAATCAATTAAATATTCAATTTTCGTTGCACGTAAAACGCGTTAAAAATTAATTTCTTCATCCTTTTACTTGACCCGATGAGCATCTCCAGACAATTCTACAATTTTTATTTTTTAAAGGTTATTTACGGCTTAATTTTTTGATGATAACGTTTCCACGGACAGGAGAAAAATTAATGACAGTTGAAAGTGATGAGTCAAAGACGATTATAGCCTTCGGACATTGATCAGAACTGCACAATTATTGACATTCTTTTTATTGCAATTCTCAATTAAGCGAATTTAATTTATTGACATTTTGGATGCAGACTACAAGATGATTCCATATAATGTATTTTGTCTGTTTGTTTATTAATTATATTTAAACACTCAAGAAGCTTAAAAGCTTCTCTTTTTTTAAGGTGACACAAAGTCCATAAAATAATCTCGTTCTTTATTGTTGTACTGACTTCATAACTTATCATAAATTGATCCCTTAACTACATAAAAGATTAGGATATTTTTCTCAGGTTATTTGAGTATTAATTGATCTAAATTGGAAGCAAATATGTTAAAATCAGGTCCAAATCTTATTTATGAATCAGTTTCAACCGTTAAGAAGGCGCCAAACTATCAAAATCCTTCTCTTTGACTACCTAAAAAACCTTGCTATTGGATATTAATAAGCTCTTCTGCAAGATTTTTGATCTTTCCTTCATGTTTTATTTTTATGGGAATTTATATTGAATCTTGACCATATTTTACAGGCTTTTAATTGTTCGTAATTGATTCATATAGAATAGAATGGGATTCACAATGACTTTTATGGTGATTTTGTGCACAGAGTAAGCTACTTAGAGATCAATACGTTAATAGCCGTAATTATTGTATTTACAGTAATTTATATCGAATTAAAGATGAATCAGATAGGAGAGTCGTAAAGTTTCTGCAACTTATTGTTATTTTATGGATAGATTGTAAGTAAATACTAAAGATGCTAAATTGGGTATTAAGATTCTTAAGTTGTTGAAGTTTAGAGTGGCAAGAAAGACTTAAGAAATTTGAGAGTATTGCATGGCGATCAATGCACCCTGAAGAGCTGTAAACTCATCAAAATCAATGTCAAAGCTTTCATATTATTTGACATTTTTGAAGTCATAAAATTCATCACCAAAAATTTTATTTCAAAATCCTATCAGCAGTAGGCTACTGTAAATAGTTATCAAGGAGTTCCCACCAATATCAATAAACCCATGCAAAATTTCAATAATTCAAAATAACTCACGACAATGTACCTCCCATTCCTGTCATCATTTGTTGATGATCCAAAACAAAATGTACACATAAAAATCAGTGGGATACAAGGAATGATTGACAGTTCTCTGTGGGTCAAATTGTCATTCATTAAGCAACCGAAAAAATAATTAATAAAATTTAATTTAAGCATTAAAACTTTGTGGACGATCAATGCTTCCACAAAAAAAAACTAGTATGTTAATTGTGTTTGTGTAAAAGTTCATAAAACACGCATTAAAAATAAATAAGACACATTTAAAAGTAATGTAAAACACAGCAGAAAGTACAAATTGTTATTTGTCTTCTTCAAAATGATTATTTTTGGACTTGAGGATATTAATGGAAAATAGATTTTTCGTCATGTGACGCGAGGATCTCTAGGTGTGTTTTCTGGTCAAAATTTTTTTTGCTCTCATTTTCATCTCAATGCCCCAAAGCATGAAAACTTAATCCTAATCCAATAAAATATTCAGCGATCAATGCCCCAAAAGCATGAAAACTTAATTCTAATCCAATAAAATATTCAGCGTGCAATGCCCCAAAAGCATTAAAACTTAATTCTAATCCAATAAAATATTCAGCGTTCAATGCCCAAAAAGCCTGAAAACTTAATTCTAATCCAATAAAATATTCAGCGTTCAATACCTCAAAAGCATGAAAACTTAATTCTAATCCAATAAAATATTCAGCGTTAATTCCCCAAAAGCATGAAA